TTGTCTGGCTCCGTCTTTGCAAGGAAAATGCTTTTTACTTATTTTTTTTAATACTCTTTAGTTTTTCTTCATTGAGAATACTATTGGTGCTTGGTTTTGCTCATATCCTCTTGAGAAAATTCCCTTCTATTCCTATTTTGCCGAATGTCTTAATCAGGAAAGGGTGTTTGATTTTGTCAAATGCCTTTTCTGCATCAATTGCTAGGATCATATGGTTTTTGTTATTTGCATTGTCAATATGGTGAATTATATTGATTGTTTTTCTTATGTTGAACTATCCTTGCTAAACTGTCATGAATCTCACTTGGTCATGATGAATTATTTATTGATGTGCTTTTGAATTCTAGTGGCTTGGATTCTGTTAAGGATTTTTGTATTTATATTCAAGAGAGATATTGGTCTGAGTTGGTTTTTTGTTTGTTTGTTTTGTAATATCTTTGCCTTGTTTGGGTATTAAGGTTATGCTTGATTCTTAGGATGTCTCTGAGAGTATTCCTTCTTTTTCTATTTTTTTGAAATAATTTAAGTAGAATTGGTGATAGATTTCTGAATAAGTGGTAGAATTCGACCATGAAGCAATATGGTACAGGACTTTTTTATGGGGAAGTCTTTTTATGACCTGCTTAATTTCTTCTTTTGTGATGGGTCTGTTGAAGAGTTCTACAGCTGTCTGCATCAATCTAGGTAGAGCATGAATTTCAAGGAATTTGTTTTCAAATTTATCAGAGTATAGCTTTTCATAATATTCTGATAGAATTGATTTAATTTTATCTGATTCTGTTGTGATGTCACCTCTACTATTCCTTCATCAAGTTATTTGTGTGTTTTCCTTTTGTTAAGTTTCTCAATGGTTTATCAATTTTATTGCCTCTTTCAAAAAACCAGCTCCTAGTCTTGTTGATGGTTTCAATTGTTTTTCTGTTTTCTATCTTATTAATTTCAGCTCTTGTCCTTATAATTTCCTTTCTAACAGAGGCTGTGGGATTAGATTGTTGTTCTTTTTCTATTTAATTGAGGGGTTGAGTTAGATCACTAATTTTGCTTATTTCTTCATTTTTTATGTGTTTGCCTGTTGCTATGAACTGCCCCCTGAGGACTGCCTTGGCTGCATCCAAGAGGTATTATTGTGTTGTATTTTCATTTTCTTTTGTTTCAAGAAATTTTAAACATTTCACTCTTTATTTCTTCTATAACCCAATTGTGTTCTTGCAGGCTGTTATTTAGCTTCCACATGGGTGATTTTGTAAGCTTCACCCTCATGTGGTTAATTTCTAGTTTTATGGCATTGTGATCTGAGAAGACATTTTTTTATTATTTCAGTGTTTTTGAATTTGTTGAAACTTGTTTTGTTTTCTGTTATATGATAATTCTGGAGAACGTACCATGTGCACTTGAGAAGAAGGTAAATTGAATTTTAGTTGGGTGCAGTGACCTGAATACATCTACAAGGTTGATTTAGGTGATTGTATGGTTTAGATCTTTTGCACCTTTGTTAAGTTTCTTTTAAGTTGGAGGTTCACATACAGGCAAGATTCTGCTGAAGATTATCCAAAAATGACTGGAACAGCACATCAAAAGTGAACTGCCAGAAGTGCAGGCTGGGTTTAAGAAGGGTTCGTGTTACTAAGGATATTGTAGCTAATGTTAGATGGATCTTGGCTGAAAGCAGGGAGTACCAGAGGAATGTCTATCTCTGTTTCATTGATTATTCAAAGGCTTTTGACTGTGTGGATCACAACAAATGTGGCTGACTCTGAGAAGAATGGGAATCCTAGAACATTTGATTGTGCTAATGCAAAACCTATACTTGGACCTGGATGCAGTCGTCAGAGCAAGGAAACACTACACAGTTCAAAATTGGGAAGGGTGTACACCAGGGATGTGTCCTATCTCCATACCTTTACAACCTATATGCAGAACACATTATCTGAGAGACTTGGCTGTGTGAGGAGAAGTGTGACATCAGGTTTGGAGGAAGATTCATCAATAATCTGCATTATGCAGATGACACAACCCTGCTTGCTGAAACTGAGGAGGACCTGAAGCTCTTGCTGCAGAAGGTCAAGGACTGTAGCCTACAATGTGGATTGAGGCTCAATAGCAAGAAGACAAAGATTCTCACCCCTGGGCCAATTGGCAACATCAGGATGAATGGTGTAGAGATTGAGATTGTTCACAGTTTTAGTTTGCTTGGCACCACAGTCAACACTCTTGGCACCAGTAGCCAAGAAATGAAAAGACATATTGTGATGGGAAAGTCTGCTGTTAGGGACCTCTCCAAAGTACTGAAGAGCAATAGTGTCACTCTGGAGATTAAGGTGTGCCTGTTACAGACCATGGTCTTTGCAATCACTTGCTGTGCATCAGAGAGCTGGACAATGACTTAGGGAGGATAGAAGGAGAATTGATGCCTTTGAGCTCTGGGGTTGGAGAAGAGTATTGAATATACCATGAACTGCTAAGAAACCTAACAGGTTCATCCTAGAGAGGGTTAAACCAGGCTGGTCTTGGAGGCAAGGATTTTGAAGCTTCATCTGGCATACTTTGGACATGTTGCAAGGAGGGACCATTCCTTGAAGAAGGACATCATTCTTGGGAGGGTGGAGGACCAGTGCAGGAGAGCAAACCCTCTATGAGGTGGATTGAATCAGTGATTGAGGTAATTGGGGTAGGTGTGTTGGAGACAGTGAGATCAGCACAGGATAGAACAGAGTTTGGGGTTGTTGTACATAGGGTCACTGTGAGTCACAGGCTACTCGATGGCACATAACAACAACAACCTTTGTTTAGAGTGGTGTGTTAAAGTTTCCTACCACTATTGTGGTACTTTCTTTCTTCAATTCTGTTCACTGTTGTTTTATACATTTTGCAGGTCTATCATTTGGTGCATAGATGTTGACCAAGGTTATGTCTTCTTGATCTATTGTGCCTTTAATCATTATTTAGTGCTCCTTTTTATCTTTTGTGGTAGTTTTTATCCTGAAGTCTATTTTATCAGAGATTAGTATTGGTACTCCTTCCTTTTTGTGGAGGCCATTTGTTTGGTTTATTTTTTCCAGTCTTTGCTATTTAGTCTTTCTCCTCATTTCTTAGATGTATCTCTTATAGGCAACATATTAATGGATTTTGATTTTTTTTTAATCACTTCTGCTACTCTTTTTGCTTTAATTGTTTTAATCACATTAACTGTGATTATTGACAGGCCAGGTTTTATTATTGCTGTTTCTTTTTCTGTTGTTTCTGATTACTATGGTCCATCACTTTCCTTTGATGTCTCTGTATGAAAGACTTCACTTAAAAATTCTTGTAGGTTTGGTCTTCTTTTCACAAACTCCTTAAATTCCTCCTTTTTTCCAAAGGATCTAATTTTCCTCTTCATATTTGACAGAGTTTTGCTGGGTATTGTATTCTTGGCTGCCAATTGTTTTCTTTCAACTTTCTGTATATGCCATCCCATTGTATTCTTGCTTGCATGGTTTCTACTGAGAAAGCAGAACTTAATCTTATTGTTTCTCCTTTGTAGGTGACTATTTTCTTGTGCTGCTTTTAGTATTCTATCCTTTTTTTTTGAGATTTTTACTGTAATACGTCTTTTTGCATCTAGTCTATTTCATATTTGCTGAGCTTCTTGAATATAGATTTCTCCTTTTTTCATAATACTTGAGAAGTTGTTGTTTTGGGGTTTTTTTTTCCCCTAGCACTACTTCCACAATTTTCTCAGTGACTTCCCTGTCCCTCTAGTTCTCTGGAATTCTAGTCATAGGTATGTTGTTCCTTTTGATATCATCCCACATGATTCTAATGTGGGTTTTGTTAGGTTGTTTGTTTGTTTTTTTTCATTTTCCTTATGTTTTATCTCTGAGTTTTCTCTTAGTATGTTTCCATTTTGGCTCTTATCTTCCAGCTCACTGTCTCTCTGTTCTATCTCTCCTGTTTTACTTTTTTGTCTCTCCTGCATGTTGAACACTTCTGCTATTTCAGTCTTAATATTCTGGATTGCATTTTTATGCTTTTCTGTTATTTTCCAGTCCTTTTTTTGGCTGTACTATCTCTGTCTTGTTATGAGTTTTGTAAGGTCTTATACCTATTTATCTATAGTTTCAATTCTTTCTTCCGCTCTTTGCATTTTCTTCTGTAGTTCTTCAAGTTATTTCTCATCAATATATTTCTTGTGATTCCCTGTCTGTGGAGTATTCACTTTCTTTCTATTTTTTTTCTTGTTGTGTACTGTCAAATCATATCCAACTGGCACCGGAGGAGATTGCCCCTCCTTCTCCAGCAGATCATCTGGTGGATTAGAATGGCACATCTTTGTTCTTACAGTGCATCTTCTTGCCACCAGGCCACCAGAGCTCTCTCAGTATTCACTTTCCTAATGGCTTCCATTGTTTTTTCCATCATTTACACCTATTTCTGTAGCTGTACAAATAACTCCATCAACATATTTTTCTCATTCTCTGTTTCTGGGGTATTCATTGGTTCTACTCTTTTACAGAAAGGCTATTTCATTTTTCATGAATTTTGAGGCAGCTTGCTGTTTTCTTGACATTATATGAATCTTTTCCTGGTAGATGTTAGGCTGTTATAAGAGTATAATGTCCCAGGAGAGGGTGATAGTCTGTGAAGGGGCTGTATATTGGTGCTCCCTGAAGCTAAGCCACTTTTGTTTTCCAGAAACTGTAACTGGCCCATGCCTGTTCTCCTTTGGTTTAAGAAGCCATAAGTCTTCTCTGAATGTTTCAGCTGTTACATGATTAGTAACGGGAGATAGTAAAAAGAAAATATATTTGAGAGTAACATTTTTGGTTATAAGAATAGTAACTTTATTGTATTTTGTTAGTTCTTTGAACTTTACGGTTCTTTTATAAATGGTACTCCCTGCATTTATTTTGGCATTTTGCAAAATGGTCTTTATTTTGAGGATTGATGGTTGTGGTATAATCAGTAACTTAAAATATTTCAAGTTCAGAGTTATCAGCTGATTGTTCCTCTAATTACAGCCCTTATGGACGAAAGAGGTCAGAAGATATTATTGCCTTTATAAAAGCTGAAGTACATCTTGCAATTCCTAATGTGGTAAGTATTACTAGATGTTTAAGTTATTACTGTGACGTCTTGCTGTTTTATTTAGATGGCGGAGCATTAGAGAATCTATGGACTATCCCTTTCCATCAGCTCCATAGAAAAAAATAAATAATCTCCTCAAGTGCAAGTGATAGCCTCAGAAAATCTGCTGAAAGATCAGCTTAGGGTTGATTGATTCTCATTTAGTGGCAATGAGTTTGTATTTTTGTTAGTTTGATTTTTTATTTTATTGTCTTTAAAATACATTTTTTTTATTGGCTTGCTTACAAAGTTCAAATTACAAAATACATTGTATTTCACACTATCCTTCACATGATGCTTCATTCAATTGTTCTCTTTCATTATATTTTATAAAATTAATCAACATTGAGTTATGTTTGTTTTTAATAAGAAGAACATTCAAACTGAACTGACCTTTAGAGTCAAATATAGTCATATTGTTACAGTATTTAATAGAAATACTTGTTATGATATTTAACAGAAATTATTATGTTACCATTTAAAATCTATTAAAAATTACTTCTAGACTGTGGAGGTAGGCTTAAAAGTTGAATTAAGCCTCTGTTCTGACATTGGTTTGTTATTAACTATGACAGACTAGGAAGAAGTACTAGCCTTCTACTTATTACATATCTGGCCTTTGAAAGTCATGTACAATAGATAAGAATACTCAGAGTAGAGGAGTAGATATGGCATCTGAGACTGAGTCCTTTTATTAGTAAATGTGTCAGAGGAGGAAGAGTTCTAAGCAGACACTAATGATTGGAACATGGAATGTGAGAAATGTGAACGCAGGAAAATTGCACATTATTAAGAAATACATTGAACACAATAAATATTGACATAGTAGGCATTGGTGAAATGAGATACATTGGCATAGGACATTTTTTTAAGTTATTTAATTTTTTAAATTATTTTTTGTGGTGTATTGTCAAATCAGATTTGACAGGTACAGAAGGAGATTGTCCCTCCTTCTCCAGCAGAGCATCTGGTGGATTCAAACTGTGTACCTCTGGGATTGCAGTGCAGCTTCTTGCCACTAGGCCACCAGAGCTCCCTAAGCATGGGACATTTTGTGTCAGACAATTGTATGTTCTGCTACTGCACTGGAGATGAAATGGTGAGGAAAAAACAGGGTCGTATTCAGAGTGAAAAAGGTCATTTCTGGATCCATCCTGAAACACACTATTGTGAGCAACAGAATAGTATCCATATGCATACAAGGAAGTCCGTCAATATCACTATCTTTCAGATATATGCACCAACAATAAGAGTCAAAGAGGAGGAAATAGATGATTTCTACCAACTTTTACAATTGAGAAACTGACAGAATGCACAACCAAGATGCATTAATGATAATGAGTGACTGAAATGCAGAAGTTGGGAACAGGGAAGAAGATAAATAGTTGGAAAGCATGGACTTGGTAATAGAAATGAGGCTGGTGGTAGAATGATAGAATTCTGTGCAATTAATAATTTATTCATTGCAGATACTTTTTATAAGGAACATTAATTATTGGCTACTATACACATGAACTTTACCTGATGGTACATACAGGAATTATATCAACTACATTTGTGGAAAGAATCACTGGAGAAACTAAATATCAGCTATGAAAACTAGACTAGGTGCTGATTATGGGACAGACTATCAACTACTCATATTGAAGTTCAAACTAAAGCTAAAGAAAATTAAAGCAAATTCACAAGAACCAAAATTTGACCTTGAGTCTATCCCACCTTAATTTAAACAGCATCTCAGGAATAGGTTTTAGGCCTTGAACACTAACGAACCAGATAAGCTTAGAGATGGTATCAAGGCTATCATTTATGAAGAAAGCAAGAGGGCATTATAAAAACAGAGACATAGAAAAGACTGTGATGAATGTCAATAGAGACTGAATATTTCACTTGAGCACTGAGAATCCAAAGCAAAAGGAAAGAATTAGGATATTAAGGAGCTAAACAGAAGATTTCAAATGGCTGACTGGGAAGAAAAAACAAAGTATTACATTAAAATTTGCAAAGAGATGGAGTTAGGAAATCAAAAGGGCTGAACTCGGCATTTCTTAAGCTGAAAGAAGAACAATGAAGCTCAAGTTGCAATAGTTTAGGATGTTATGGGCAAAATATTGAATGATCCAAGAAGCATTAAAAAAGACGGAAGAAGTACATGGAGTTGCTGTACCAAAAAGAATTGGTTGACACCAAAGAATTTAATGAAATAACATATAATCAAGAGGCAATGGTGATGAAAGAGAAGCTGCATGGAAGGAGTTAGCAAGGAGCAGGCCTCAGGAATTGATGGAATATCATTGACATATTTCAAAACAGATGTTGCCCTGAATGTGTTCAACTCCATCAAGTTGTGCCAAGAAATCTGGAGGACCACCACTTGGCCAACTGAATGGAAGAGAGCCATATTTGTTCCCATTCCAAAAGAAAAGAAAAAAAGAAGAGTAACTCAACAGAGTGTTGAAATTATAAAAAATATCACTAATATCACACGTAAGCAAAATCCTGCTGAAAATCATAAATGACAGGAAATGTACATCCACATAGACCTACCAGAAATACTAGCTGGGTTTGGAAGAGTCCTTGGCACCAGAGACTTTATCACCAATGCCAAATGGATCTTGGTTGAATGCAAAGAATACCAGAGGAATGTCTATCTGAGTTTCATTGACTATGCAAAGACATTTGATTTTGTGGATCGCAAGAAATTGAGGCTAACCTTGAGATGTATGGGAATCCCAGAACACTTAATTGTGCTCATGCAAAACCTATACTTGGACCAGGAGACAGTCATCAGAACAGAGCAAGGAAACACTACATGGTTCAAAACTGGTAAAGCAGGGAATTGGGGACCCATTCTGTCTCTATACCTATTTAATCTATAGGTGGAGCAGATCATTCAGGAGGCTGGACTTTATGAGGAAGAATGTGGCATCAGGATTGGAGAAAGACTCATCAGCAACCTACGTTATGCAAATGACACAACCTTGCTTGCTGAAATAGGATGACCTGAAGCATTTCTTGCAGAAGGTCAAGAACTGCAGTCTTCAGTATGGATTGAAGCTCGACATAAAGAAGACAAAAATTCTCACCAGTGGACCAATTGGCAGCACCATGATCGATTGAGAAGAGATTGAAGTTGTTACTAATTTCATCTTGCTTGGCTCCACAATCAACACTCTTGAACCAGCAGTTCAGAAATCAAAAGAAAACTTGCTCTGGGGAAGACTCCTGTCAGGGACCTTTCAAACGTGCTGAAGAACAGTATGTCAGTTTGGAGACTAAGGTACATCTTTCTAAGGCCATGGTCTTTGCAATTACTTGCTATACATCAGAGAGTGAGAAAATGATCAAAGATGACAGAAGAAGAATTAATTTCTTTGAGCTGTGCTAGAGGAATATTGAATATCATGAACTGCTAAGAAAACAAACAGGTTTAAGATGGGAAGAGAGAAACCAGGCTGCTTCTTGGAGGTATGGTGGGGGGTGTTTTTTGTTTTTAATTTTTACTAGTTTATTTACAAAATTTGAGTAGTTTTTGAAGCTTTGTCTCACATACTTTGGGCATATGGTGAAGAGGAACCAGTCCCTGGAGAAAGACATCATGCTTAAAAGGGTGGAGGGACAGCACTGGAGAGGAAGATACAGGATGAGATGTATTGATACAGTAACTGTGATAATGAGGCTGAGGACAGAGCAGAGTTCAGAGCTATTGCACATAGGATGACTGTGAGTCACAAGCTCATGATGGCACATAACAAGAACATAGTGACACATACCATTTTTACTTTGTATCAGTTGCTGTTATTGTGGTTATCTGTCATTGAGTCGACTATGACTCATAGTGACTGACGCTTATGATTTTTAGTTAACTAACGTGTTAAAATTGAGAAGGAAGTGTGTCAGGGTTGTATTCCGTCTCCAAACCTATTCAGTCTGGATGCTGAGCAAATTATCCGAGAAGCTGGATTCTATGAAGAGGAGTGTGGCATCAGGATTTGAGGGAGACATCAATAGCCTGCATCATGCAGATGATAGAACTTTACTTGCTGAAAGTGAGGAGGACTTGAAGCACTTGTTGCAGGAGATCAAGGATTGCAGCCTTCAGTATGGATTGAATCTCAATGTCAAGAAAACAAAGATTCTTACCACTGAACTGATAGGCAGCATCATGATGGATGGAGAGGAGATTGAAACTGTCAATAGGTTCATCTTGCTTGGATCCACAATTAACACCCTTGGTACCAGCAGTCAGGAAATAAGGAGATGCATTACATAGGCGAAATCTTTAGTTAGGGATCTCTCAAAATTATTGAGGAGTAATGATGTCAGTTTGAGGACTAAGGTGTTTCTGATTCAGGTTTTTCTGATTACTTGTTATGCATGTGAGAGCTGGACAATGAATGAGGATGGCGGAAAAAGAATTGACACTTTTGAGCTGTGGTCTTTGAGAAGAGCACTCCAACTAAGAGTACAAACAGATAATGTTTTGAAGAGGGTGCAAGCAGGAGTGCTTTTTGGAAGCAAGAATGATGAGGCTTTGCCTCACATACATGTTGCTCGGAGGGGCTATTCCTTAGAGAAGGACATGATGCTGGCAAGAGTGGCAGGTCGGCAAAGGAGAAGAAGACCCTCAACCAAGTGAACTAACATGGTAACTGCTGCAAGGGGCTCTTGTGTGTCAAGCAGTGTGAAGTTGGCATAGGATAAGACAGAGTTTTGATCTTTTGTTTCATAGGGTCACTGTGAGTCTTACTCAACTTGATGGCGCCTAACGAAAACAACCACAACTACAACAACAACATGTGTTAAACACTGTCACCAGGGCTCCTCTAGGTCCCAAATCATTGCTATTGTAGCAGTCCTCCATCAAATTTCTGGGACTGTAAATCTTTATGGAGACTATACATCTTTTTTCCCATGGAGATGAGACTGGTAGATACGAACGATCAACCTTTCAGTTAGCAGCCTGACATAATTTGTAATATGCTACCAGGTAGCATATTTCAACAGGTTAACATTTCAACAGGATCTCTCTCATGTTTTTTAGAGTTATAATTCCATGTACAACAGTAGAGGCAGTCTTTTGTTCACCCTTTAACATCCTTTTCTGTAAACATTTCTATGATCCATTAGATCAGATTAGTTGTTCCCCACAATAGTGCAGGGTAAGCTGGCAGGAATCTGAGGAGTGAAGTGTGTGAGCTGACAGTATTGTGAAGTTGTTTCTTCTTTCCACAGGTAATGATGCCTAGCTTGGATGACATTCAACAGGCCATTAACCGTATGATTCAGTTGACTCTGGAGGTCAGCAGAGGAGTAGCTCACTGGGGACAACAACATGTGCGTCCCATTAAGTCTGTAATGATCAGTCCTACCCGTACCACTACTGACTTGACCCACCCAACATTGGGAAAGCAGATCAAGAAGGATGACAGTAAGAACATTAAAACATATCTCAGGGGAGCTCTGGTGGCTTAGTGGCAAGGAGCTGCAACTACAATCCCAGAGACGCACAGTTCGAATCCACCAGATGCTCTGCTGGGAAAGGAGGGACAATCTCTTCCTGTACCAGTCAGATCTGATTTGACAGTACACTCACACAAAAATAATAAAAAATAATAAAAATATCTCAGATTAACAGCATATTAGAACCATCACAACTAAAAAATGATCTTTGTGATTCTTCCTAGATTTAACAGCATATGTCATTGTTATGTGCTGTTGAGTCACCTGCAACTCATAGTGACCCTGTGTACAACAGCCCTATTCTGCTCAATCCTGTGACAATCTCTGACATAACTACCCTTATTACCCCAGTCATTGAATCAATCCATCTTATCAAGGATCTTCCTCTCATGTGCTGTCCCTTCACCCTCCCAAGCATGCCATCCTTCTCCATGGACTCCTTGCAACATATCCAAAGTAGGTCAGACAAAGCTTCAGAATCCTTTCCTCCAAGGAGCAGCCTCGTTTCACCTTCTCAGGATGAACCTGTTTGTTCTCCTAGCAGTCCATGGTATATTCAGTACTCATCTCCAGTACCACAACTCAAAGGCATCAATTATCCTTCTGACATCACGAGTCATTGTCCAGCTTTCTGATGCAAAACAATTAATTGCAAAGATTGTGACCTGGATCAAGCACACCTTATTCTCCAGCCGACATCATCGCTCTTCAGTATTTTGGAGAGGTCTCTGACAGCAGACTTTCCCAGTGCAATTTGTCTTTTCATTTCCTGGCTGCTAGTATCAAGAATGTTGATTGTGGAGCCGAGCAAACTAAAGCTGTCAACAATATCAATCTCTTCACCATCTGTCATAATGCTGCCAATCAACCAAGTGGTGAAAATCTTTGTTTTTTTGATGTTGAGCTTCAATCCATATTGAAGGCTACATTCCTTGACCTTCTGCAGCAAGCACTTCAGGTCCTCCTCAGTTTCAGTAAGCAGGGCTGTGTCATCTGCATAATGCAGATTGTTGATGAATCTTCCTCCAATGCTGATGCCACATTTCTACTCATAGTGCCCAGCCTCCCAGATAATCTGTTCTGCATAGGTAAAGAACAGACCAAGATGGATGTCAGAAGAGACTCTGAATATAGCACTAGAGCACTAAGAAGCCAAAGCAAAGGGAAGAAATAAAGATATTAAGGAGCTGAACAGAAGGATTCAAAGGGCAGTGCGAGAAGACAAAGTATTATGATGAAATGTACAAAGAGCTGGAGTCAGAAAATCAAAGGAGCTGGACTTACGCAGCATTTCTTAAGCTCAAGGAACTGAAGGAAAAAAAGTCAAGCCTTGAGTTGCAGTACTTAAGGGTGCTTGGCCCAGAATATTGAATGATCCAGAAAGCATTAAAAGAAGATGGAAAGAGTATACAGAGTCATTGTACCCAAAGGAATTGGCAGACACAGAAGAATTTAATGAAACAACTTATGAGGAAGAGCCTGTGCTGATGAAGGAAGAAGTTCAGGCTGCTCTGAAAGAATTGGCAAAACACAAGTCTTCAGGAACTGATGGTGTACCAGTTGACATACTTCAACCAACGAATGCTATCCTGGATGTGCTTACCAAGTTGTGCTGAGAAATCTGAAGTATGACCTGACTAGAAAAGATCTATATTTGTTCCAGTTCCAAAGAAAGGTGATCTGACAGCTTGTGGAGATTATAAAAAAATATTAAATATAATATGCAAGCAAGATTCCTTTCTGGTTTCATGGCAAAGTTCTTTGTGACCACAGAGCTCACCTAGAAGGGAACTCTCTCCTGGAGCTGCTGGTAAACTACCCTGGCTGGAAACTCACCTACATAAGAACTTGCCTTCTTTATTTTCCTTCCTCACTGGTCCTGCAGCCACCAGGAAGGGACCTCACTCTGCCTCTGTCTCAAGGCTGAATGAGAAGTTCTCTGACCTAGGAGGTTATATTTCTTCCTCTCTGGTCCCACAGCAAAGTTCTCTGTGGCTACAGAGCCCACCAGGGAAGGGAGTCAGGAGCATACCCAAAATGGAATTGGAGAACTTGCCATACTTCTGTTTCTCCTCTGTAGTCCTGCTGCAAATTTCTCTCACACCTTAGTCTTTAATTTGACATTCTTGCTCTTTTTAAATTACTCATTTCAACGAAAATTTAGAGACTTTGGATTTCCATTCATTCATTGTTGCACTTTTCTCCCCTCTCAACCCTCCCCCCCCCCAAGTACTCTATCCTCTTGGAAAAGTAAAAGAAAAATTCTTTCATTGTTTTACGATCCCTCCCCCCAGGTCGACTCCACTATGCAGCCTTCTCTCTGGACTCCCATCGTGACAAAAATACCTAATCGCATATCCCTTTTAAACAGTTTTCTCCCTCATCTGTTTCAATGCAGTATACATTATTGAACCCATCTTTCTCAGTTTTCCCCCAACCCCAATGTCAGTCCTGTTTTACAACAGTGGCACCATGCAATATTTGTCCTTTGTGACTGAGATACTTCACTCAGCATAATGTCCACCAGGGTCACCCATTTTGAATAATATTGCATGAGTTCTTGTTTTTCAATGCAGCATAGTATTCCATTGTGTGAATATACCACAGCTTCTCTATCTGTTCGTTTGCTGATGGGCACTTAGGTTGTTTCCAACTCCTTGCTTTTATGAACAAAGCCACAGTAAACATGAGCATGCATATATCTGCTTGAGTGTCAGTTATAGTCTCTTTGGGGTATATTCCCAGTAGTGGTATTGCTGAGTCAAATGGTATCTCTATTTACAACTTTTTGAGAAAGCACCATACTGCCTTACACAGTGGTTGCACCATTTTACACTTCCACCAACAGTAAATAAGGGTTCCAGTCTCTCTACAACCTCGCCAGCATTTGTTGCTTTCTGTTCTGTTAAATTTGCTGTTCTTACTGGGGTGAGAAGATATCCCATAGTTGTTTTGATTTGTATCTCTCTCAGAGCTAGGGATTTTTAACATTTCTTCATGTGCTTGTTGGCCATCTGAATGTCTTCTTTGGTGAAGGGTCTGTTCATATGCTGTGCCCATTTTTCATTTGGATTATTTACCTTTATCTGCTTGTGGTGGATCTTTGCTCTTTTAACACTTTGAAGAGATCCTTGATATCTGGTAAAATCCAGACAATGTCATTTGATTGAACTGCAAGTGTTTTCCCCACACTGTGCTTCCATGGAGATGCTCTCCTAACCAAATAACTCGCCAAGAGACAAACAAACAGACCACGGACAATTCCTGCTTATCCTTGAATGGTAGGTTTCAGTTTTCTTCCAGACCTTGTAATTCTTCAGATAAACCAATCATATTCTCCCATGGGAGCTCAGTGTCACCTATCTTCTTGATAAAGCCTGTGACCCACACGTGTTGGGGTTCTTTTCCCTGAGTGTAATTTCTGTGTAGCCCTTTGTGTGATGTCCTTGTTCCATAGACTGTTAATATATTTGACTAATAAACTTTTCTCAGTCTCATTGGTCCAATGTTGAGCTGACCTTCTGGTTGGCACCTGATAATATTATGCCCTATGCCAAGAGGAATTGGGAGACACCTAATTAATTACAGAGTAGTGATAAGTCTTGCATCAGAGGCACAGGGTATATTTGAGGTGCTGGAGACTAATCTAAATAAGTGACTGGCCCTTAGAGGCCAATAGAGGATGTCCTTGTAAAAATACTGCTGACCTTCATCTAAATGTTGTGCAGGGATGCCCAGTACACAGTAATATTGTGAGATGAGACTGTCAGAAAAGTGCAACAATGAATGAATGGAAATCCAAAGTTTCTCTAAATTTTCATTAAGATGGATAATAATAAATAATTTAGCAATCACAAATTTCATGTATTATCGGGTAAGTTTTGATGGTTAACAATGGCTCTGTGAGCAGAAGATAGCCAATCAATCTCCTGTCATTAAAATGAATCATCTCACAAACCCTCAGAAATGAGGGTGGTTGTGAGTCAGAGTCAAACACTGTATATAAAAACCAAAACCAAAACCCCAAATCCATTGCCTGAAAATTTCTTCTCACTCATAGTGATGCTGTAGGACAGAGTAGAATGTCCTGTAGGCTTTTTGATGTTGTAAAGCTCTATGGAAGCAGACTGCCTCATCTTTGACCTACATAGTGGCTGGTGGATTTGAAATTCTGACCTTTCGGTTATCAGCCAAGTACTTAACCTTACACTGATGAACGAAAGTATCTGTGTGGTTTCTACTTGTTGGAGAATGTTTGAGTTTTTGATCAGGGGAGTGATATGATCACATTTGTGTTTTGGTAAGACATGTTTCTCTAATACAATGAAATCTGTGAAATCTGGAACCTGATGGAATGGCTTTGCTTTTCCAGGTATCACATTTTCTGCCTTTGACAGGGTGCAATTTTACCACTTTTCTAGTAATTTAACCTTACACTGTTACTAGCTTTCCAAGTTTTTACTGTAGTATTGTGTGGTCTCTATATACCAGGTATTGCTTTACAGATAAATGCATTATTCTTTTAACTCTTAGAGTATATATGTGAATATTATGTAACTAACTAGCCTTACATCATTTAGAGTCCCTGGTTGAAACAAATGATAAACATTTGACAACTAACTGAAAGGTTAGCAGTTCAAACCCACCTAGAGGTGCCTCAGTAAGCAACCCTGCTCATCTGCTTCCAAAATGGCACTGAGTTCAACTCTACACTCTATAGATTGGAATTGACTCAGCAGCTACTGATGACAGGCAGGTCATTTGCATGATTTGATTGACATCTTAACGAGCCCTGATGGTGTTTGGTTGCTATATAAAGGGTGCTGTTGAAACCTACCAGCTCTTCTGTGGGAGAAAGATGAGGTATGCTGCTTACTTTCTCCACAGAGTCGCTAGGAATCAGAATTACCTCATGGCGGTGGGTTTGGCAGTTCAAAAAATAGAAAATGAAGGCACACTCCCAGACTAAAACCAGGCAAAGATAATACTGAGAAAGAAAACTACAGACCATTGTCTCTTACTAATATAGATGCAAATATCCTTAACAAAATCCTAGCCAATAGAATCTGAAAGCACATAAAAAAATTAATCATGACTAAGTGGGATTCATAACAGGTATGCAGGAATGATTCAACATAAGAAATCAATCAACATAATTTACTGTATTAACAAAGCAAATAACAAGAACCATATGATCATATCATAGCAATTGATGCAGAAAAGGCATTTGACAAAAACCAATACCCCTTCAACACTGTCTTTTTCATAGCAATTGTAACTCCTTAATCTTTGTTTGGTAGCCCTGAAAAGTGCAAATGGTTAATGTCCTTTGCTGCTAGCTGAAAAACTGGGTGAATAAGAGACATTTGAGAAGAAAGTTCTGATCATCTACTTCTGTAAAACCAGAGAACACCCTATGGAGCACAGTTGTATGTGATTTTTTTTCTTAGGTACCATCAAATCAAGTATAGCTCATAGTGACCTTTAGAATAGCATATCTGACCCCTATCCTATCCTATCCTATCCTATCCTATCCTATCCTATCCTATCCTGTCCTATCCTATGACATCCTATCATCTCTAACATACTTGAGCCCATTGTCACAGTCACTGTATCAATCCATTTCATTGAGGGTCTTCCTGTCTTCTGCTGACCTTCCACCTTTCCAAGCATGATGACCCTTTCCAAGGACTGGCCCCTCCTAACATTCATGCCCATCATTGCCTGTACGAGCACTGTGGTTGCACTTTCTCTAAAACATATCTGTTTGTTTTTTTGGCAGTCCATGGGTTATTCAGTACTCCTCTGTAACACTGTAACTCAAAGGCATCAAGTCTTGTTCTGTCATGCTTATTCATTGTCCAGCTCTTAGATTCATAGCACATGATTGGAATGGAGTCACCTTGAATTCAAAGTGACTTGACTTCCAACACTAACCTTTCTTTGGATTTTTTTTTCTATTTGTTTTTACTATTTGGGTCTTTAAGTCTTGTTTTTTAAATCTTTTCTGCCTACCATAGGCTTTCCACATTGAAAAGTAACTTAGAACTCAAAATCTGATACAAAAGTTTACTAAAAATAAGTAAAGATACAGAGAGAATAACTGCTTAATTACTTGGAAGGAGATTTTGTAGGAAAATGCAATTTAAAATAAACTTAGAAATACTAAAATCGATAGCAGTAAAAACCTGAATATAAAGTTACTTTAAAACAAAATCCATAATTACTTTTAATTAAAACCCCATCCATTTTCAGAATCTTTTGAAGAGGTTATTCCTGCAAGAAAACTGAAGAATTTCTACCCTGGTGTAGCAGAACACAAGGATATTTCTAAGTTGGTTGTTCTTCTTTCATCCTCTATGAATTCTTTCCGAAAGGCGGTTCAGGAGGCCTTGCAGGAATTTCAGAAGTACAGTACTCTCTGGACGGAAGACCGAGACGTGAAAGTGAAGGTATGTTTCAGCCAGTAAAAGATTATGTTATTTGTGTTTTATATATTTCTATCTAACTCTTCAGGAAGGAACCAAGAAAGTACCAGAGAGAAATGACAGGAACTGAGGAGAAGAGAACTTTTACATGTCAAGTGCCTGACACCTTGTCTCCTGTATTTCTTACTTTGACACTTCGAGATAAGATGGTTAAGAATAACCATCAGACAGGTTTACTTCAAATCACTTAAACAACTGAGTACCAATTATGTGTCAGACACTGTCCAGATGCCCAGTGTACCAGAATGAGCTGTGCTTATATTGATTCAGCTGTCTTTTTGACCCAGAATATTCAAGAAAACTTTAGAACTCTGAATAATGATTATATTAGACTATGAAATTCAATTGTAACTTCCTCTTTCAATACTATCGTAACATTTCATTCTTTACTAAGCCTCTATTCTGATAGCTTGCACAAGAGTAAAAGTACATAAAAATGCATTTTTCTAACAATTACTAAAACAAAACCCATGAGAGCATAACTCAGTAAGATGGCCTTGTTTTTCTAAGTCTGGCAAATTCTCTGCTTTGACAAGATCCAGTCTTATCACTTTTCTATTGCTCCTTTTACTAGAAAATATTTGAGTTTTCTTTCTCTGATGAGTTTCCACTTCACAAAGATTCCTACCTTCACAGATTTTAATCATCTAAGTGTAAGATTTTTACTCTTGAAAACCAGAAGAGGGGGGAAAAAACCCCAATACAAACCATTAACTATTTCTTTATACAGGAGTTCTTGGCTAACAACCCTTCTTTGACTGAAATCAGAGCAGAAATTCTGTACTATGCAACTTTTGAACAAGAGATTGAAGAGTTGAAGCCTGTTATTCTTGTAGGAGCGCTTGAATTACATACAGGTATTTACCAATATTATTTGTGCAAAGTATCTACATTGTCATAAACCAAAACCTAACAGGTCTGTCCTGGAGAGGTGAAACCGGGCTGCTCCCTGGACACAAGGATTTTGAAGATTCATCTCACATAGTTTGGACATGTGACCAGGAAGGACTAGTCCCTGGAAAATGACATCATGCTTGGAAGGGTGGAGGGATAGCACAGGAGAGGAAGACCCGGGATGAGATGGATTGACTCAGTGACTGGAGAAATGGGATTAGGTCTGTCAGAGACAATGAGATTGGCTCAGGATAGGGCAGAGTTCAGAACTGTTGTAAGTAGAGTCACTATGAGTTGCAGGCAACTGAGTGGCACATAACAACTACCTTTAAATTGACATCAAGTTGACATCACAATGATACTGTAGGATACAGTAGACTGCCCTCATAGGATATGCAAGGCTGTAAATCTTTATGCAAGCAGATTGCCACATCTTTCTCCTATGGAGTAGCTGGTCGACTTGATTCCCTGATCTTTGATTTAGCTCTTTAACCATGGTGGCACCAGGACTTCTCTTTATTTTCATATTAAATATTATTATTTCATTTAACAAACTGTAATTAAGTTACCCTGGTACAATATTAGAAATTCTAGTTAACTTGAGACCATCAATACTGTTTATACATACACACACACAGTGTATACAGACTTGTGTATACAGACTTATTCTTTAATCTACTCTAGTGTTAGTTTAACCTACCCTCCTTAGAAGCTGGTGAGACTCAATTTCATGTGATTTGGTTATGCTATTAGGAGGGACTGGTCTCCCAAAGCAGAGGCTAAGTGAAAAGGAGGAAGATCCTTAGTGAGTTGGATTGGCAACGTGGCTGCATGGACAGGCTCAGACATGGCAGTGATTGTGAGGATAGCACAGGACCATGCAGTGTGTAATTGTGTTGTACATAGAGTTCTGTGAAGAAACTCTGGTGGTCTAGTGGCAAGAAGCTGCATTGTAATCACAAAGACACCTGATTCAAATCTACCAGCTGCTCCATGAGCGAAAAATGGGTACTCTCCTCCTGTGTGATTAACTGACTCTGAAAAGGGCCAGTGATCTGTCAGTTCCAACAAGATGATACACGACACCACCACCACCAACAACAAGGGTTCTATGAGTTGGAATTTATTGACAGTACCAAATAACAAAAAGACAACAAGGGAGAAAAGACATATCACAGAATTCAAGATGCTCCTGGACCTTTGGAATAACCAGGGACAATATAGGAAGCTTTGGATATCTTTTCTCTGCATCTCATTTCTTCTTTCTCATATTACTTTATTCCCAGACATGTGAATCTCCTTCAGTTCTCATTACACATTCTCTGAGAGGATTCAATTGGTCTCTAATAGACCAACCTTGAAAATCAGCTAGGCCTAGGATATGGGATCAGATTATACCTAAACCTTAACTACGTGAATGAGATTGGAAAGGTTGTGACATGAAAAATGAAGACAGGGTTTGGAAGGTAAAGCAATAGTTATCTCCCCACTGTGTGGAAATGCCTGGAGTAAAATGAGAGAGTGAGTAAAGACTTCTAATGGAATAGGCTGAAACCCAACAAGGACTGTGTTAGGATTAATTTGTCAATTTCTTCCCATAGATTATAGTCTCTTTTTAATGTACAGCTTTACGGCTCCATGAGAAGTCTTCAAACTCTTGTGTGTATTTTACCCTTCTATCACTTCTGGTTCACACTGACCACATTTCAAGTGCTAAGTAGCCACATGTGGCTAGTGAATATGGAATTACCAGTGACATTATAGATGTTCAATAATACACAAAATCGATAGGACAGAAAAAAATTATAGTAAACCTTTGGAGTTTGAACATCTGACTTATGAACAACTCATACTTGTTCTGTAAATTTACTCTAATTCATTATCAAACTAACCCCTGCTCAAAATACATTTTTCGTCACAATCATAACTTACAGTATCTGCAACTTTTTTTTTTAATGTATCGTTGGATTCTATTTGCCAGTATTTTATTTGTTGTTGTTGTTGTTGTTATGTGCCATCGAGTTGTTTCCGACTCATATTGGAAAAATATCTGCAAAAGACTCAAGCAAGACCCACACCTCACTCCATACACAAAAACCAACTCAAGGTGGATCATGGACCTAGGACTAAAACCAAGGACTATAAACTTCATTACAGAAAAGCTAGGAACAACACTAGAAGTCCTAATCCACAACATAAACAGTCTTCCCAGTATCCTGGAAAACCTACAACCAGGAGAAGATAACATAGATGAATGGGACCTTCTAAGACTCAAATCCCTATGCACATCCAAAAACTTCCAGTAGGGTAAAAAGGGAAGCCACTGACTGGGAAAAAGTATTCGGTAATAACATATCAGATAAGGGACTTATATCCAGAATTTATGAAATACTTGAGCACCACAACAAGATAAAGGGAAATAATCCAATAGAAAAATGGGCAAATGGGCCCAGGATATGAACAGGAACTTCACCGAAGACGACATTCAGATGGCTAACAAGCACATGAAGAAATGCTCAAAATCCCTAGCCCTAAGAGAGATGCAAATTAAAACAACTATGAGATATCATCTCACCCCAGTCAAAATAGCAAAATTTAACAGAACAGCAAGCAACAAATGCTGGCGAGGTTGTGGAGAAACTGGAACCCTGATTCATTGTTGGTGGGAGTGTAAAATGATGCAACCCCTGTGGAAAGCAGTATGGCGCTTTCTCAAAAAGTTGCAAATAGAGATACCATTTGACCCAGAAATTCCACTACTGGGAATATACCCTGAAGAGACCACAGCTGACATCCAAGCAGATATATGCACACCCATGTTTATTGCAGCTTTGTTCACAATAGCAAGGAGTTGGAAACAACCTAAGTGCCCATCAACAAACGAATGGCTAGAGAAGCTGTGGTATATTCGCACAATGGAATACTATGCTGCATTAAAAAGCAAGGAACTCATGCAATATTATTCAAAATGGTTGACTCTGGAGAACATTATGCTGAGTGAAATATCCCAGTCACAAAAGGACAAATATTACATGATGCCACTGTTGTAGAATGGGACTGTCCTTGGGGTTGGGGAGAGACTGAGTAAGATGGGTTCAATAATGTATACTGCACTGAAACAGAGGAGGGAGAAAACTGTTTAAAAGAGATATATGACTAGGTATTTCTGTCATCACAGGAGTCTAGAGCGAGGGCTACATGGTGGAGGGGACCTGGGGGAGGGTTTGTAAAACAATGAAAGAATCTTTTCTTTTACTTTTCCATAATTTTTGACTCATGTACTTATAACTTGTTAGTCAAATTTGTGTCTTCTAGGTTGCAACACCCCCATGATACATCTTCAAGGATATGAACATGTACGGCCAAGCACAATCAATAAGAGTGCATCTAAATTCCAAAATCAATCTCCATAATAGTCTATGTGTTTCCTACTGCCAAAGGGGCCCTTTAGAGTAGTGAGAGAAGATCTTCACCCTGAAACCCACAGCGTCCCTTTTTAGCAGGGAGTAGCTAAGAGAATGCACCATCCCCTTTTCTTTATGAATCAGGGTGAAGTCTCTCTCAGGGAGGAGTGATAGGGAATGGCAAAGGACACACCGACAAAGGAGATTAATCAGAACTGACTTTGACAAGCACTGTGGCAACTGGACAATTAAAACAGACATTCGGATGGCGGGGAAGAAGAACAAACTGGGGAGGAGGGTAGAGAGAATGGTGCAGCAATGAAGGAGTGAAAACCCAAAATCCCTGTAAATGTTCATTAAAACTAATAAAATTTAATAATAAAAAAAAATAAAGTAAGGGGAAAAAACCATTTGCACTTAATAGTTTCACAGGTCTAATTGGTTCCTTACTTGCCTATTGGATTTAAAGAGATATTTTAAGAACTAAAGCACAGATTTCATTTGTATTCCAGGAACTGCCTGTATTGATTATATTTTAATATTATGTCACTAGGTCCATTGAAATTGGCATTATCAATTGAGGCTAAGGCATGGAAGATGCTGTTCTGCCGATATTTGAATGAGGAATATAAAAAGAAGATGTCAGATATGATCACATTTATCAATGAATACTTAAAAAAATTATCTCGACCTATTCGTGATTTGGATGATGTCAGATTTGCAATGGAAGCTTTGGCTTGTATTCGTGATAATGAAATTCACATGGACATGACTTTGGGACCAATTGAAGTAAGACTTAATGGCAGTTTTTCCCCTTTCTTATTTTTATTCATTCCTTGTTGCACATTTTCCTCCTTTCCCCTCCCCAAGTCAACCTGGAGAAACACCTCTTGTTCCAGATTGTTGCTATAGGTATAATGCCTAATCATATATTCCTTTCACACAATTCTTCCCTTTATCTTTTCTAATGCATTGTTCATTATCTATATACTCTTTTCCTTTACTTCCCCTAAACCCCTCTACCACTCCTATTTTATAACAATGATGTTAAGCAGTATTTGTCCTTTTATGATTGAGCTCTTTCACTCAGCATAATATCCGCAAGTCTCATCCATGTTGCATAATGTCTTAAGAGTTCATTCTTTTTCAATACTGTGTAATATTCCACAGTGTGAATGTATCATAGTTTCTCTGTTTGTAGATGTGCACTTGGGTTCCTTCCATCTCTTTGCTATTATGAGTAATGTAGCAATAAACGTGGATATGCATACATTTGTGTGAGTCACAGCTCTGGTTTCTTTAGGATATATTCCCACTAGTGGAATTGCTGGGTCCAATGGTATTTCTATTTCCAACTTTTTGAGAAAGTGACAGGTCTCCTGCCTGGGTGGGTGCACCTTATTTTTTAAGTGTTATTTCATTCTTTTGCTTGGGAACAGAGACACACTGAAGTGATTCTGGTAGCACATTTCTTCTTTCTGTTAATTGATGTTTCTTGGAGAATCTTAACAATTACCGCAGTCAATAAACAGTATACAAAAATACAGAAATATATTAATAATGCTATAATGAGTTTAGACAGTTTTTTATAATGGCACTAGCATTTTATGGGAAGGAATGAGTGCATTCATTCTCAGCATGCTAAGCAATTGCTAAAATACCTTTGGCTTCTTTTAGAAAACCATGTATGGTCTCACACCAGTGTAATTCTAAAGGCAGGATAGTGGGAGCAGTCCACTCAGGCTCAAGGGTCAGCTGTACCAATTATTTGGAATGCAGGTCAATAAAACACTTTAAAAAGAAAAAGTAAACTGGCTCTTCTTTTTTCAGAAAATGTTTACTGTTGTGGCTTAGTGTTAAGGATTTGCACTATAATCCCAAAAGGCACAAGTCTCTTCCTGTGCCATTTACTGCCTCTAAAAAACCATTGAAGGGTCAGCAATGAGTCGATTGTCACACTCCATGGCACACAATAACAACAACTGTGATTTGAGTGAATGTTTGCAAAGCATATTGGATTTTTTCCAGTCATGGCAGAGTATCATGTTAGTTTTCTCTTTCTTCCTTAGTAATTTATCACAAATTTATTGCCATTTAAGAGTTGTTATTGTTATGTGCCATAAAGTTGCTTGCAACCAAAGCAACCCTATATACAACAGCTCTGAACCCTGCTCTATCTTGAGCCAACCTTATTGTCTCTGACACACCTACCCTCATTACCCTAGTCACTGAGTTATTCCGTCTTCCTCTCTTGCACTGCCCCTTCACCCTTCTAATTGTAATGTCCCTCCTTGCAACATGCTCTAAGTATGTCAGACAGAGCTTCAAAAATCCTTGCCTACAAGGAGGGGCCTGGTTTCACCCACTCTAGGATGAACCTTTTATCCCCCCTCCTAACAGTCCATAGTCCATTCAGTACTCTTCTCCAGCACCACAACTTAAAGACATCAATTCTTCTATCATTCATCATTGTTCAGCTTTCTGATACATGGTAAGTAAAGATCATGGCCTGGATCAGGTGCACTTTAGTCTCTACACTGCCAGCACTGCTCTTCAGTACTCTG